AAAAAAGTTTTAAAAAAAAAAAAAAATTATATTTTTAAAATATTATAATAAAAAAAAAAAATATTTAATAAAAAAAAAAAAAAAAAAAAAAAAAAAAAAAAAAAAAAAAATAAATAAATAAAAATAAATAAATAAATATGATACAGATAAAATGTTTGAAAATCACCTGAAAACCGAAATATATCCCCCTTTTAAAAAAAAAAAAATTTATAATAATATACATATATATTATATTATATATATATAATATAATTACTTTCATTGTTGTATTAAACGATTTTAATTTCCTTCCCTAATTGATTGAATAATTCTTATATATATATATTTTAATCTTCCTTGAGGGAGAGTATAAGGTGGTTCCTTTTTTTTTTTTTTTTTTTTTTTTTTTTTTTTTTGCGCGACAAGCTTTATCAACTTCAAATAAACGAGACGAAATTAACGAGTAAAATATGTCGAAAGCTTCAAACGGAACCTCAGCCTACGCGTCTGATGACTATTCTGAAGACAATAAATCTAATTCTTCTGCTTCAGAATCTTCTTTTGAAGAGGAATTAAAGAGTAGCAACGACCATACAGAAGTAGAAAGTTTGGAAAGATTTAACGAATCCAATGGAAAAACCTCAGCATTGGTATCGACGCTATTCGATATACCCATAGTTAATCACTCTTACCAAACTGTGAAGACATATAAATTCGGTCGTATGACTATCGATTTTGCTGATGCTGGTGCGCGTAAAGTTACCGAATTTGTTCCCGAAAAGTTTAACGACCACATTGAAAAGGCAGACAGAATTGCCGCCGAATCCGTCCAACGTTTTAGTACGATTATAACGCAACCTACTGATAAAATCTTTAGAACCGTTAGTTGCACGATTGAAAATAATATTACTACTCCGGGAAGTCGTTTTGTTGCCAACTTTGATTCTCGACTCGCTCCTTTTGTCGACGTATTTGAAGATTTACTTCAAAAAGTGATCCCTGATGAAAATGCTCATACCAGTAGAGATATTCAGAATGATCAACAACTTGAGCAATTGAGTCAAACGCTCAGATGTTTCCAAATTGCTTTTGACACAAGTAATCGATGTGTTGAAAAAGTAAAGAAACAACTTACTACCGTTCAGAATCCTGATATTGCGGTTACTCTTCATGCTCATTTGCAAAGTATCTCTACCGTGATTCTTGGTTTTCTAAACAAGGATGAGGATCTTTCGAGTGCTGTACAAGCAAGAATCATTGAGTTATCAACTGCTCTTTTGGCTGTAACTGATACTATTTCCAATTATGTCAAATTAAATGCTGAACATTTTCCTGAATATCTTCCCGAGTATCTTCAAGAACGTCTCAAGCCATTGGTAGTCTTTTTTGGACAAGGTTACGTTGAAATTGTCAATGAAATTAAGAATGGTGAAGGCAGTCCTCTTGATAAAGCAAAAAATATTGTCCAACTAACCACAAACCATACTCTACCTTTACTTCGCGGTTCTCTCTCTGATTTACAAGAAGCGTTTCAGTGGTATAAGAACTCATTGAACACATCATTCCACAACACTACGGAAACATTTATGAATAAATTGAATCAAACAACACAAATTCTTAACGTTAAATAAATTATAATCTAATTTTTGTAATAACGATAATTTCGAATCATCGTAGTGAATTGAAAAGTTGAAGGGTTGGGTTTGCGATCAACTTATGTTCTTTTTTTATTTTTTTCCCTCTCTTTCTCTCTGTAGATTAAATAATTTTTAAAAGGGAATTGCATTTGTTTTTTTTTTCCAGAACATATTTTGTTCTAGAAATTAAATTCTTTTTATTTTACTTATTGATGTTATCTTATTTGGTATCAATTCTTATACTATTTTTTTTTTCTTTAAAAATTAAAACATTATTTGATCATTAATCAACAATTTAAATAAATAATAAACTTATATTTGTTATTCTTTTTTTAATAGTTCATTTTAACTATATTATAGCCGACAATTCTTCAAATTCATCTGTAATCAATAACTTGATATCTATATAGCTATTTAGTCTTTTTTTTTTTTTTTTTTAATGCGTCTTTATAAATACAAAAGAAAAGTCTCTAATTAAAAAAAAATAATAACATTCGATTACATGAAATAATTTTTTTTTTTTTTTTTTTAAGAAAAAATAAGTAAATACGATCTATTATAACTATTATCTATGTGTGTATAATATATACGAGTTCTCATACTTCAAGTTTTCTTTTTCTCAGAATATTTCCAATGTAAAATTCACCCGCCTTATAACTACTTCTCACTAGAGGTCCTGACGCAGTATATAAAAATCCCAAATCATCACCAACTTTAGCCCAATAATCAAATTTTTCGGGTTTAACGTACTCGTGAACTTTCATATGCCTTTTTGTGGGTCTCATATATTGACCCAAAGTAACGCAATCAACATGAATCTTACGTAATTCTTTCATCGCATCTAGAACTTCCTCATCTGTTTCGCCAACACCAAGCATTATGCTAGTTTTCGTAATCAAACTTGGTTGTATTTTTTTTACATGTTCTAGTACATTTAAGCTTTGTTTAAATGTCGCTCTTCGATCTCTTACATATGGAGTCAAAGCTTCAACTGTTTCAATGTTATGGGCGTATACATCTAAACCAGAAGATGCGACTTTTGTCACATCATCAAGGTCACCCTGAAAATCTCCAGTAAGACATTCTACAAGAATGTGTGGTGCCCTAAAAACAAAAAAAAAAAAAAAAAAAGAAAACATTGAGTTGATGATATTATTATATATGAATGAAATAAGAATATAAGTTAACGTTACTTTTTTTTGAGTAAGCGAATAGTTTTTGCAAAATGTTCCGATCCTCCATCTGACAAATCTATAAATTTTATTAATATCGGTGATGACGAAAAGAATCATGAAAGATCGCTTGTGAAAAGATATGGTACCATCTCTATCCACAGAAGTCAATACAACGTAGTCTAAACCCCACTTAGAAATCGCATGAGCAACATTTTCTGGTTCATTTGGATCTAAAGGATTTGGAGTCCTACTTGTTTTCACGGAACAAAATCTACAACCTCTTGTACATTCATCACCCATTAACATAATGGTTGCGGTAGCAGTTTGATGTTCACCTCCACCCCAACAATCTCCAATGTTTGGACATTTGGCTTCCTCACATACCTATTACAATAAAATTTATGTCTGACAATTTTAAAAATATAAACAAATTGAACATCATTTATAATAATTGTTTTATTTACCGTATGGAGGTTAAACCCTCTTAAATCGCGTTTTATTCTAGCAAAATTTGTTCCAGAAGGAACCTTATTTGTTTTGAGCCACTCTGGAAGCCGTTGATATCTTTCAAATAATTTTTTTAAAAAAAATAATTGAAGTGAAATTGATTTTAGATCTATAAAATGAACTTTTAGGATTACCGAACCATAAAGAATAAATCTACCTAAGAACTATGCAAAGACTATTATTGTGCTTACGGTTTTCTCTTACTCTCATTAATTTTTAAAGTATTTTGCGAATCGAAATTCTTCTCCAAGCCGCTTGAATTGATAAATTCATCCAAACTAGGTCCGGTTATAAGTTCTTCAGAGAAGCGAGAAAATTTAGTAGAACTTCCTTCCGGTTCACTACTTGCGTTAACTTGCGCATTCTTGTTAAGCTGTCTTGAGACATTGGTGGATTGTTGACGGATTTTCTATAAATACTTAAATATGTTCATGATTCTATATTTAAAATAAAAACATGACGAACATATTAACCTACTAAGTAAATGTTTTGAGATCTTGGGAAGGATCTAATAGCTGTGAAAATGACAAAACTTTTCTGAACTAACGAATTCATGTTTACAAAGCAATTATAGAACCTCGAACAAAAAAATTTTTAATATGTCGTTCATCTGGGTATTACGTATGGTTAGCACCATCAGACTGACACAAAAATTAAAGCCGCAGGCCCTTGCCCATTTTTCAAAACCTTTGAATTCTTTAACTTTCTATTTTACCGTTTTTCACCAAATGCAGCATACAGGGATTCTTCTATTAGATTCAATTTTTGTAGAATCCGAAGAATATGTATTCGAGAATAAAATCGAATTATGGATGCAACGCACTAAGGAATTATTCCCGAGGTAGTGAACTGGGATTTGCAACAATCCAATATCGCTTTCTACGTTAGACAGACAGTTTGGTCTTTATTCGATACACTGTTCCCAATCTACAGCTGATTAGTTTTTCTTTTTTATTCGATTATTCTTTTCTTTATTTCTCTTATTTTATTATATTGCTGTTTTGCTCGATTGATTATTAAATGAAAGGTTACCATAAATGGATGTAGATTTAGCTAAGGAACATTTTTACTTAATATAGAAAGATCATAAATATCTGAACAGATCGCAAACAATTTTTTGATCCGATAAAAATTTATTGTAGATTAAAAATTTAATGATTAATTAAAAAGTCGTACGAATTAAGCAGAAAATGTTCCGTTTAATATTAAGAATTTTTATCATTTAGATCATTATTTTTGATCTATTGATTTGTTTATTACTTAAATCATTATAAATAGCTTATAAATCAAACAAGCTAGCTTCTAATAGTTTGACCTGTGATATAACTTGGTAAATTATTTTTAGGAAGTTATTTCTTTAATAGAAAATAATATAAACCTTAATAAAGTCATAACTTTTATCAAAAATATATTATACATCTATATGTCATGACTATAGCTATATGCTATAAATAAATAATTATTTATACAAGATTTAAATTTATATAACAGTCAGGGATTTTACCAAATATATGATGATGATTATTTCCTATTATAGTATAGGATTTGCCGATCAGAATATTCTAGATTTGTTTAACTATATCACGTGACATGCTTTATCATCTTTGATTGGATAATAAATTTTATATTTTATTAAATCTCATATTAATACTGTTTTTAAAAAAATTTATATACAAGTATTTCAATACTTCTTACTAAAGTATAAAAAAAGAACGGTTTAAAATTATAAAAAGTAATAAAAAGTTTTATTTGTTTCACATTTAATTTTAATTTTGATTATGTAATCTATATGCTACTTCTTGTAGAATGCTTATGCAATCGAATCAACTTCATTCCTTTGTGTTTCTGTATTATTAAAACAATCGCTATTATTATTTGAATTAAATAAAGATTTTACCTCTTCCAATATAACTAATAATTCATTATACCTTTTAGATTTTAATCCAAGGTACTTTTTTGAATACTTTCACTCATCTGTTTAAGAAAAACTTTAATCTTGCAAATTATTTTCACTTTAATCATATTTGCTTCAGTTTTCTATGCAGTTTCTTCTTTTTTGTAATCAGAATTAGCCTAAAAAAGAATCTGTATTATTGTTACAAAAGATTTTAGTAACATATTTTTTCGAGTTTGCTTTGCTAAACTAGTAAAATTTATCAACTGTTCACTTAATTCATATTTTTCTCTTAGACATTTCTTGATTCCATAAGGTTAACAAAATTATTTTTTCTTAGAAGAACTCTAAATCTTTGGCATTCTATAATTGGTTCCAATCAGAATCTTCACTCATTTAAAAATCATTATATCCAATTGTTTTGAAAAAGTTGTTCTATAACTTATGTTTAATTATATAATAAATAATTATAAATTTAAGTAAGTAAAATAAATTATCTGAAGGAATTTTTATAATTTCACATAACTATTTTCTAATAACGTATTTATAAAATTAGAAGTATCAATATTTTTAGGATTTTATTCACTTCTTCTAAAATTGCATCTAATCCCTGATGCTAATTAAAGAATTCTGACAAGAAATCATACAACTCTTCTCTACAATATCCTGTATGATTAGATCAAGCTGCATCAGTTGTATTTCATCTACAATTTCTATTAGACAGTATATTAGATAGCGTTATGTTAACCATATGACGAAAAGATTCTCTTTGCTGCTTTCTTTAATAATAGATTATTTGTTCTGATAGCTATTCTATAATTGATGATAGCTTGAAGATAGCTAAACATCTATTAAATGGAACTTAATAATAATTAGCAGTAAATCTATTAAATTTTTACAAAAATGAAACAATGTTACTTGCTCAAATTTGATTTAATAAAGTAGATCATTTTGATCTTTTACCTAGATCAAGTATTCTTCAACCAATAGATTAGAATGATTCTTAACATATGGTCATATAAGTTCTATAGTCATTATTTGACAATAAATATTACAGACTGAATTCTAAGACTTATGATGATCATAGCATTTCTTGAAGTAAGCGAGCTGATTCTCAATTTTATACCCTTGGTATATTGCAAATTTTTTGATATCAACATCCCTTTAAATGATCAAAAGCTATATAAATATATGTTAAAACAGTAAATGTAATAAATATGATGTAAAACTTATCAATTTAATTCTATATACGCCTAAAGAATATTCATCTCTTTATGCAGTTATCCAAGAATAAGAATTAGCTAAGAATACTTTTCTTTAATTTTATATATACGGTAATATAAAATATCATCACAAGTAATAGCCACCCATTTGCACGTTCTATAATCTTTTTAATATGGAAAAGAACTTTTCAATATTTGCTGTTAAATTTAAATTAACATTAAGAGATTGGGATAAATATTTTTGAAATATTAACTCTTTGATCTGCAGACGATTTTTGAGTAATATTTATTCTTAGTGCAGTAAGTATTGTAGTTTCTTTTTCACCACAATATAGTTTATAAATAGTTAATTTGTCTGTATTACCTTTATCTAACTCAGAAATATACTGTCTAGGTAATTCTGTTAGTATGAATAGATGATTTTTGCATTTGGAATAATTTTGCTTTTAATTGTTAATGTTTTATTTTTACAACTAGAGCATTATTTATCACAGTGATTATTTGATCCTAAATTATCTACAAAAGAATTAATAACATTAGTTGTTGATAATTTTTCTTTACATAATAACTCTAAAATTTCAGTAAGATAAGTGTGTAATTCTTGATCTATCACTTTTTTGCATTTTAGATGTAATCTCAAAAAGATTTTCATACTTTAATTGGCTAAAAGAATTAGATACCTAAGGCATATTAGTATATTGAATATAATTCTGATATTTTATATTAAATGTAATAAACTAGTAATGATATTAAATATCACTGCATTATTTTCTCAATCAAAATAATTTCATTGTCCCCTCTGTTCATTATCAAAGTTATAAATAAAAGTCCTTTAGGTAGAGGTTCTTCTCTTTCAGATAGTTTGTTTAACCAGCTTTAAAAACAAAATAACTTCCTGAGCATATAATATGACTGTCAATATTAATAATTATTTTTGATCGCGCAATTGAATATTTAATAGCAAATGCTAAAAGATTCACTTCAAATACATATTTCTATGCCTAGATTTGTATATTAAGTTGATGGTCTTTGCCTTTTTATAAATTTTCTTGATATTTAAAAAATCTGTATTAAGATTATTATAAGTTAATGTTTCTATAAATTTTATAACAACTTAATTACGTTTACTTTGCCATATTTACAGAGAATAGTTCAATAGATCTTCTAAAGAAATCCTATTATTATCTCTGATTAAAAATTCAATATCCTTATATAAAAATTCTTATTCAATTAATGCTATATCAATAACTACTTATATGCGTTTATGCTGATTAGAATATTAGGAATTCTATTATTTGATAAGATTTTCATTCTTTTCACATTTTTTAACATATAAATCCTTTAAATTATTTATTTTATTATAATATTTATCTAATCATATCTTCAATTCTAACATTTTTTATCTTTGATCTTTTATTTATTGTTGTAATTCTATAATATATTTACTATTTTCTACTTGATCTCTTTCTAGTAATTCTTCAGTTTTTTTCAACTTTGATAGATGTGAAATTTCTAATAGATATAGAACTTCTAATAGATGTAAAACTTCTGATAGGCATGATTTATTGTCAGCTATTACTTCTTGATAGACATTAGAATCATACAAATTATCATCATCAATCTGAATTTTTTTATTTGCATAAATAGAATCATCTGAAATCCGTTGATAAAAATAATCAATAGATATAATTTAGTTGTAATGTTTTTTACAAATCGAATAAGAATCTAGAAAAAATGAAGATTCGTAAGTTCAGGTATAAAATTATGATAAAGTGCAAGCTTCTTAGCTATTTCCTCAGTATTGACATATCTTCAAATTTGTTTCTTCTTTATTGCATAGGATTTTAGTCTTAATTCACTATATTTACTAATTAAGTTAATAAATAAACATGAAAGATCTTTAGTTCTTTATCTTGTTCTAGCTAGTTTATTAGACTGCAATATTTTTCTTGAATTCTGATAACAAAATTTTTTTTAAAAGATTAATTTATTAAATTTAAACAAAATTTAAATGCAATTTCTAGTATTTTTTTAGTTCTCATTTACTTTTTCAAAAAGAACTGATTATGAAAAAGTATTAGCTGATTATGAAACTTTAAAGTTTTCAATTCTCTTCAAATATATACTATTAATAAAGATCAACATTAAAAAGTTTTACAAATATTGATCAAAAGAGATTATCAAGAGCTAATCAAAATCTAAGAATTTATTATAAAACATTCTAGAATCTATTTCCATTTTTGGTAAAAACTCTAACTGTATTATATTAAAAAAATTACTACAGTATTGTCATAAAAATCATAAAAATATCATTTATGTGACTTTTTGGCTGGTATTAGAGCATTAAGAAATTAACTGTAAAAAGTTGAATGATAATAAATATTTTATGTTCATGTGAAAATAAAATTTTTATGTTTTTCAATTTTACTATTTTATCA